GAGGTAGAGCAGGGCGAGGCAGGGGCGAGGCAGGGCAGGACTGACTTCTGCCCCTGCAAAGGGGTGAGCGGGGGTCGGGCCTGGGCGTCCCTCAGCTCGAGGGTGGGCAGGAAAGCCCCCCGTCGGGGACTCAGGATCCGTCGGTTCCGGACAGTCAGGCTAGCGGCCCACGGGCCCGCAGAGGGGGTTCTGTGGGACCCCTGTGCGCCCGCAGTGAGAACATCGCTGGGGGGAGTACTGAGGGCTGCTGCAGGCTCCCTGAAGCCCTGGCCTGGGGCGGGAGCCTGTGTCCCCACGGTGTCTGCGGGGTCTCGGGACGAATGGAGAAGGGGCTCGGTCCTCGTGCTGAGTCACAGCTGGGCCTCTGCCTACAAAGACCCGAGTGCTGAACAAGCCCCATCCCCGAGCTCGCACACTCACGCCAACCCCATTCCCCCAGGGTGCAGTGTGGGCTGAAGTCCGGGGTGCCCTGTGGGGTGCCCTGTGGGGTGCATGGCAGGTCCTGTACCACCCCGACTCTCGTATCAGCATGGCCTTCTCTCTTCCCGGCCCCTTGGTCTGGAGCGGGGGGTGGGCTTGGATAAACAAGAGGGAGACGGGGCCTAGTGCCCAGACCGTCCACCCGCACAGCCTTGCCAACGACCGAGTGATTATCTGCTGTTTTAAATCCCCCAAACCTCAGCCCCACCCCCCACCCCCGCTCCATTAACACCTGGCTGGTCCTCTGAAGACTCAGTGGTCTCCCCCTCCCGGAGGGAGGTCAGCCCCGGGCAGGCTCCTCTGTGGGGGCGGCAATCAGGGCCCGACCGGCCAGAGACCCCGGGCACCCGTCGTCTCCTGGACCCCCGCAGTGGGCCCGGCGGGGGAGCCGTCCTCTGCCTGCAGCCTGCCTTGTAATCCCGGGCTCTCTCCCCCCTTCTGTCCCCCACAGGGTGCGGGCTGCACTGCCCTCGTGGTCGCCGTGGTGGCCCGAAAGCTGGAGCTCACCAAGGCAGAGAAGCACGTCCACAACTTCATGATGGATACGCAGCTCACCAAACGGGTAAACACCACTGTCCACGTCTTAACGGGGGGCTCCAGCCCAGTGTGGAGGCCGGTCACAAGGAGACAGTTGAGTGCTGTAGGTCAGGGCCACACCTCTCAACGGGGGTCGGGGGGCCGGGAGCCCAGACACCTGCGAGCCGTCTCCACACGGGGGGCGCGACGTCCCAGCATTCCGGGCTCCCGTCTTCTACTAAATCACTGCGCTCGGTTCAGATGACCAAAAAATTTTCCTGACAATTGAATGGAGCATTCGGTGGTGTGACCCACCCCCTCCCCTAAGGGCACTGAACCGGTCACCCAGCGTGAGGCAGCATTTCTGGTTAGGTCAGACAACGTTAGGAAGGGCAGTAGAGTCTTGGGGGTTTGGGGTTTTTTTTTTAAGTTTTATTTATTTTAAGTCATCTCTTCACCAAACATGGGGCTCGAACTCACAACCCCGAGATCAAGAGTCGCACGCTCCTCTGACTGAGCTGGCCGGGCACCCCAGGGAGGCCAGTAGAGTCTTAAAAACAATATTGCGTCTAAATCCAATTCTTTTTAAAAAATCATTAAAGACGATCATCACAGCAGAGCCCCCATTTCTAAATGGGTGTTCATCAAAGTGTCATCATCCAGTCCCCCTTGGGGCCTTCCAGGCAGTGCTTCTCGCTCGTGGTCGGGGAGGAGGCGTGCAGGCCGGGGAGATGGGTCAGCTGCTGGAAGCCTGCCACCGCTCAACGGTCAGAGAACAGACAGAAACCGGCCCTTCCAGGACAACAGCCAGACGAGCAGGCAGAACCGTTCCTTAACGCCGCTTTTACGGAGAATTCTCTAGAGCTGCAGGCCGAACAGAGGTCAGCAAGAGGATTTCTTGCAAGACTCCTCTTTCTGAGACAAGCCTCAGACCCTGTGCTGGGGTCAGGGCCGCTGTGGCCCATCTTCCTGGTTCAGGACTCAGGGGGCTGGGGGCCCGCGAGGAACCAGGTGCTGGTTTGGGGTTTTGAACGCGAGAGAAGAGACTCTGTGATAACGCTGCAGCCCGGGAAAACAGCGTTAGCAACGGACTTGGGGGCAGGGAGGAGAAGGGAGGCGGGGAGGCCAGGGCCAGTGCCCAGGCCCCTGCGCTTCTCAGCAGCATTATTAGGGGGTTTGATCATCTGGTCTTTGCGTCCCTGTGTTGGAGTCTCTACAGAGGCTCCCCACATGTGCAAAGGGGCGGGTCCCGCAAACATCCTCCCCTGCTGGCAGGCAGGCCTCGCCGTCTGATGCACAACAGAGAGCGTCATGCAGCATCGCGATGGTGGAAGGGAGGGCTGTGCCCGCGGCTTTCTGAGTGGCATCCACCCGGAGGCCTGTGGCCCAGCGGTTCCCTTCAGCCCCGGCGGACGCACACGAGCGCAGCTCCGCACTGAGCACGTTACCAGCGTGACTGGTGCTGCCGTGCACAGACCCCCTGGCACCCGGCCTCCTGGTGCAGGGGTGACCAGGGTGATGCAGGGGTGAGGGCGGGCGGCCCTGCCTCCAGGACCTTCCGGCAGCTGCTTCCCTAGAGCAGAGGCCTGAACAGTCCGCATAGTCTGGTGTGCTTCGTGAAATCCCCGATACACTTTGTACTGCATGCCATTCCCGCGCTTTCTCCATTTTCTGCCCCGTAAATCAGACAGTGGAGGAAAATAAAGCCAAGCAGAGGGGCGCCTGGGTGGCTCAGTTGGTTAAGCGACTGCCTTCGGCTCAGGTCATGATCCTGGAGTCCCGGGATCGAGTCCTGCATCGGGCTCCCTGCTCGGCAGGGGGTCAGCTTCTCCCTCTGACCCTCCCCCCTCTCATGTGCTCTCTCTCTCTCTCTCTCAT